GTCGGGCTTTTGGCAATTGCCCCTGGACGAGGAGTCTAAGCCAAAGACCGCTTTTCAAACTCCACAAGGCTTGTTCCAATTCAACGTGCTTCCGATTGGACTCCACTCCAAGCCGGCCACCTTCCAACGATTAATGGAACTCGTGTTGTCCGGACTGCAGTGGGAATCGTGCTTAACATATCTTGACGACGTTATTGTTTTCGGTAAGGATTTTGACGAACATTTGCAGCGGTTGCGTGCCATCTTTGGCCGAGTGCGGTGCGCTAACTTAAAATTTAAGCCCCAAAAATGCCATTTGCTGAGGACATCTGTTAAATATTTGGGTCACCTTGTTAGCGCGTCAGGGGTTGCCACCGATCCAGAAAAGACGAGCTGCGTATGAACATGGCCAGTACCAAAGACAGTAGCTGAAGTGCGTAGCTTCGTGGGCTTCGCGTCATATTATCGACGGTTCGTTAAAGATTTTGCCGCGATTGCGAGGCCACTGCACACGCTAACCGGTAAGAGCATGAAGTTTCGGTGGGGGGACGAGGAACAACGTTCATTTGAGGCACTGTGAGCCGCTTTGGCGGACGCGCTGCCGCTTGGATATCCTGATTTCACGAAAATGTTTATTCTTGACACGGATGCCAGTGACATGGGTGTAGGCGCAGTCTTGTCGCAAAATGTTGACGATATTGAGAAAGTTGTGGCATACGGCAGCCGCGTGTTGTCTCCGGCTGAGCAAAAATATTGTGTGACGCGCTGAAAGCTGCTGGCCATCGTGCCCTTTGTTCGATTGTACCGACCGTACTTGTATGGCAGGGAATTTCTGATCCGCACTGATCACGCGGCGCTACAATACTCGTTGCGGGTTGACCAGCCGTCGGGCGAGATGGCCCGTTGGCTCGAAATCCTGCAGGAGTATTCCTTCATGATTCAGCATGGGAAGGGGACGCGTCATGTCAACGCCGACGCTTTGTCGCGATTGCCGCAACCGACGGGTTCGTGTCGGTGTGCGGAGGGCTCGCTGCGTTGCGGTCCGCCGCTGCAGGGCGTTCCGGCTATGGTCGCTGCAGCGGATTCAATTCGAGCGGAAGCGATTCCCGCTGTGGGATCGGGTTTATTGGGGTTGACTCTGACCCAGTGGAAACGCCTACAGGCGGAGGATTCCTCCCAGGCCAGAATGAGGCTTCGGGCCTCTCGTTCAAGGGGATCGGAAGATCGCCCCTTTCTGCGACTCGTTGACGGTCTCCTCGTTCGCTGGGATGTCGAAGCGCAAAGATTCTGTATTGTTGTTCCGTTAGCGTTGCGCGGGAAGCTCATTCGCGATACCCATGACAAACTGATGCACTTGGGGGAGAAAAAGACCGCGCTGACCTTGGGGAAAGAGTTTTACTGGCCGGGAATGTATAACGATGTACAAAGAGATGTTAAGGCATGCCACGAATGCACACGGCGGAAGGCGCCGGCGCAACCCTATCGCGTACCACTGCAATCGATACGGGTTTCACGCGTCAACGAAATTGTCGCCCTGGATATATTGGGTTCGTTTCCCATCACCCCCCGGGGGCACAAGTATTTACTCGTGGGTGTAGAGTACCTTACTCGCTGGCCTATGGCATGGCCGCTAGTGGACCAATCTGCGGGGTCGATCGCAGAAGCTTTCCTACAAAGATACGTTCTCGATAAGGGCGCCCCAGAGCACTTGCTCACCGATCAAGGCAGGAATTTCTCGTCCCAATTACTTTAAGAAGTGTGTGATTCGTTGGGGACTAAAAAGATTCGAACGTCCCCGTACCACCCGCAAACCGACAGGATGGTCAAACGCCTGCATAGGATGCTAACGTCTATGCTATGCCACCAGGTTAACTCCTCGCAGGATGATTGGGACCTACACATTCCGGCGACCCTGGCCGCTTATAGACTGGCCCCGCATGCCTCGACGGGGTACTCGCCTTTCTATTTGATGTATGGTCGCGAACCGGAGGCACCGACCTTGGTCAAATTGGGTGTGCGAACACAAGGGAAGTCGTCGACAGTACCTGCTCCCATGCAGGTGGCATTGGACCGTCTGAAGGAGGCTAAGGAGGCCTCGTTGGGTAACACAGCACGGTGGCAAGCCGCCAACGAACGATTGCATGGTACGCAGCCTCCTCGAGAGCCCTGGCGTGTGGGGGACAGGGCTTGGTTGCACTGCCCCATGGTACCGGTGGGAACGTCTCCGAAGTTCCATCGGCCCTGGCAGGGTCCCGTCGAGATGTAGAGGCTTTCCGGGACCAGAGTGTACGGATTCGGTTTGGTCGTCGCACATGGTATGTTCATCCGTCGCGCCTTAAGAAATTTATATCGCCCTACGACGCGTCATCTCCCATCCCAGAGCGGCCTGTATTGGATGTGTCCGATGAACTTGTGGTACGGTCGCATGTGAACGCGCCTCAGCAGTCTGCCTCCCGTGTGCCTGCAGGACCATCCCTATCGACTCTGAGAGAGGGTTCTGGCAGATTTACTGGCCGGAAGCCGGCTGACCGGCCGCAACCTCGGGATACAGTCCGGAACGCACAGGAATGGGGGGCGGTCCCGCCGGCGGATGGTCGCCGTGACAGGGACGGGCATGCGTCAAGGACCGGACGCAGCCCTGAATTAACATGGCAGCATTCCCCACTCTTGCCCCACAGTGTCCCGTTCAGGGGAAATGGGCCGGCAGCTGAGACTCGCTCCCAAGGAAGAACCTTCCGTTAACTCTACGTCTCGTACGGCTGTTGTACAATGTTCTTCTGTGATGCATTGTTGTTATGTCATTGTTGTACTCCACTACCCGGAAGTCGATTTATTGTCATAGCCGGGACGGCTAGATTTTTCATCAGGGGGGGGGGGGTGGGGGGGGGGTGATGTAGTGGAATTAATATGCGCATGGGGGTAAATGGTGAGATCGCGCGGGGGCAGGACAGTATGGGTTATATTGGGACAGCCAGGTGCGATGGTTGGGGTGATGAGGTAATGATTAGGCCAATTAAGCTAGGGAGCCAGCGACGGCTGTGATTGGCTGGTGTTGTTGTCAGGGCCAAGTGGCGTCTTAATGTCTGGGCAAGTAACAGGTGCACGAGGACGCGGAGCGTGGGTGGGACGCGGGCTAATTAATTGGGGAATAATGAGAGCGGGGATAAATTGGGGAGACGCGAGGATAGAGGGGAGTTGGATTCGGGGACTGGACGAAGCAAGACGTGGAGCGGAGCTGAAGTGAAGACAGCCAGCAGTAGAGACAGGAAAGCGGAGCTGAAGTGAAGACAGCCAGCAGTAGAGAGAGGGAAGCGGAGCTGGAGTGGAAGCAGCCAGCAGTGGAGAGAGCACAGTGAGAGCGGAGAGCAGAGATGAAGCAGCCAGCAGTGGAGAGAGCACAGTGATAGCGGAGAGCAGAGACGAAGCAGCCAGCAGGGGAGAGAGCACAGTGATAGCGGGGTGCCGAGAGCAGAGATGAAGCAGCCAGCAGTGGAGAGAGCAGTGATAGTGGAGTGATAGTGGAGATAATGGAGATAACGGAGAAGCGGTGATAATGGAGATAATGGAGAAGCAGTGATAGTGGAGATAACGGAGAAGCAGAGATTGGAGAGGCAATGACGGCGAGCGAGTCGAGTGAGGCGCGATGAGCAAGCCGTGGCAAGCAGGGGAACTGTGAAGCATTGAGGACATGTGGAGAACTGTAAATAAAGTGGTGTTGGAAGAAAGACAAAAGTTGCCCGAGTGAAATCAACCACTACAGCTGTAACAAACATTAATTCACCTTGCACGTATGTACTGCAATATCAAGTTTCCGAAAGAATGTTTTCGGTCATGGGATATAACATATGAAACAAAAACAACATTTCGAAGAAAATATAATGGAAGAATATCTGAAAAGCACACAAAAAGCACGGGTTTATGCTTGGAATTAGACTGAGAGGCAGAAAGAGAAACTCACGGATCAAAGAACAAACACAAATTATTCATATTAACTTAAGAAAGTGGACCTGGGGCAGGACACATCGTTAGACGGGATGCTTCGTGGGGCTAGTCAATAGAATGACAGTCAAATGAGTGAGCATGCCTGAAAGGAATACCACCACGATGACGGAGCAATGAGATCAGCTTGTGGATATTGGCATCGCGGGATTGTGAAGGATGGCGATGTCATTGAGAGGCCTTCGTCTAGCAATGGATACATCATGCCTGATTCTAGATTTGAAGCTTTCGTGACTGCAAGGATCCATACTCTTTGGTTCTATTCGGTAAAGTCACGTAGGTAAAAAATAAAACAAAAATCACGACGTTTCGGCCACAACACAAGCGGCTGGAGTGAAACACAGCCAAGCTCAGACCACGGCTTTTAAGCTGTGTGAGAGGGATAAAGTTGCCTTGACAAAGGAATTAGCATAAAAATTTGCATTTTAATAGGCTGACTTAGCATGATGAAAGGTAGGGAGGGGGTCGACCTGTGCAGGCTGGCGAGGGGGCACGGCAGCGTCCACGTGCTGGTGGTGTGAAAAGGGGATTTTAAGCTGCGAAAGCTTGGGGTACCACTACTTTAAAATATACTGTACCATTGAAAAATTAGTTTAATGTTTGGTTCGATTTAGAACATCTTTCCAATGGTTGCTTAATTTGAAACCATCTTCTCGGTTGAAATTGTGTCTGTGTTTGTAGATCTGAATTGCCTCGTGAACAAATCTCTGATAGAAACCCGTGGGTTTGCAAAGAACCTTGGTATCGGAGATGATGGTGATGATGTACCACAAGCAGTTGAAACGTGCAAAAAAACAATGCTGCCGATCCCCCTGATCTTAGTGAGGGTCAGCCCACCACCCACAGTGAGACGGATCTGATGTTTGAATATTTCATTTTTAAATAGCGTTCCAAAACTCCGCAAATATACGCAATGGAAACCCTTCCACGACGGTGCTCGCAGATGGCATTGCAGCTCTTGCGTGCTGCTGAGCTTCGCGTAGCAGCAGCAGCACAGTGATTGGGGACGCGGTCATTCTCACCGTCACGGATCATCCCAGCCTCGTAGCACTTTCTCAATCGGCATGCCTGGCAGCGTCGCCTTCGGGTCTTGTCTATCGTGCAGTGGTTTGTCGCCGGGCACACAAAATTATTTTTTCCTGCGAAAGAAAAATAGCCCGACAATCTGTCACCGAAACCGACCGTCCGATCCAGGCTGACCTCTTCCAAATCTGTGTCATTATGGTCGTGGGGTGGGGGGTGAGGGAGGGTCCTGTGCTGGCTGGATGTTATCGATTGCGGATGGCTGTTGCATTTGTATATTCCCAGTGCTGTCGTGCGGGGGGAGCTTCTTTACCTTGTACGCTACGCTTGAAGAAGGCCTTGCAGCCTTCGCACGTCCACACACCGTAGTGGTAACCGGAGGAAAAGTCCCCACAGACGGAGCAAAGCTGCGTGGCTGGACCATCGACTGGGCTCGCCAAAACGGGCCGTTCAGTAATGCTGCTACTGCCCGCGGAGAGCATGAATGTCGACGTTGGCAACCTGAGTGTAAATGCAAGAAAGTAGATAAAGTCACGTAGGCAACACAAGCGTCCGTCATCGGGTGAGAAAGCATGCGCCCGAAACGTCGTGATTTATTTTATTTTATTATTTCATACCTACGTGACTTTACCGAAAGAACCAAAGAGATTCCTGCAGTCACGAAAGCTTCAAATCGAGATTAAAGTAGATCAATGTTTTTTTTTATATAATAGGAATGTGGTATGCTGACGCTACTGTTGTTTAAACGTTCCACCCTCCACTTGAGGACGCTCTCGACAGCCCCTTCTCTGGAGGGCTATTTGACCTCTTTCTTACACGCCTTGCCACATAAGTCTCGAAATAGGTGGGAGAAGCCACATGGTCACCCACATGCGACCTGGTGTCGCCCATGTATACAGCTTGGGTTGACAGGAGCGGTGGGTGTTAGTTAATGTTAGAGGCTTGGGGCTTAAATAAACTTGCCCATTCAACTGCCGCGCCTGGAGAAAGAGCTGGCGACATCTGTATTGCAAGTCCAGTTTGCTGATAACAATTACAACCGCGGCAGAATCTCAATATTGTGATATTGTGAGTTACATTAAAATTACGCATTATTTGTAATTTAAGTTCACTCGATTCTACAAAAAAGTGTGTACAGTAATACGGTTACATAACAGCACACTTGCGGATATTTTGTGCCGCGACTATTTAAACATGGGCGAGACATTTCTGACTGATGATGCCCGTACAGTATTTAAAAACTCGCAACACAAAAACAGCAGCATTTTTCCCGAGCATCCTCCTTACCTGCTGCAGTTATTCTGTGTGTCACCGAAGGCTGCCACCAGGCCGGGTGGAGACGTCCCAGGTTGGTGCAGATGCTGAGTGCAGCATTCGGCCGAGCAGCATTTGGGTGGCGGTGCGGACATCCAGGACTTGTGTGCAGGCAGCAGGATAGAACTATGGGGATGGCAGGCTGCATCGTACTCCTCTTGCTGCTCCTTCATCCCTCCCAGCGTGGACAAATGTTGACGTGTCATGGGCGGGCGCCTGGGCCAAGTTGGAAGCATTTTATAGCCCTTCAGGAGGCTGCCGATCGTAATGCGAAACCGCTGCCTCTTCTCTTTACAGTAAACTCACGTTGCTGAAAAACGAAAACTAACTGCATGAACTGGCGGATGTGGACTGATAAACATCTTCATCTGGGGCTTGCAATGATTGGCTGGAAATTTGGCACGGACACAATTGCGTTTTGGCAGCCATGGTTTCACCAAATGACGACTTACGAAAGCAATTCTGAAGCACCACTTAGCAGGCGAACCTTTTTCAGAGCCACGGCGCATTGTGATTGACTCCTTTGCAATCATCCTCCAATACCCACCCTCCATTAAATGCGGAAACTAATTATTGTTAAGTTTTTCATTATACGAAAATGTTAAACCTCCCAAAGGGATGTTTTGTTTCGTACGAACACATGTTTTGAATAAACAAGTAGATAATCCAAATAATATATTTCTATACATATAATGTCGCTCATGCAAAATTGCATCTCATACCACTGGTTGCAATTTATTTTTAAATTGTACATTACTTACATTTTGATTTAAAGCTTTCGTGACTGCAGTAATTCATATTCTTAGCTCTTTCGGTAAAGTCACGTTGAAGGGAAACAATAAAATAATTGTTTCATATATATTTTATTATTTTATTGTTTCCCTTCAACGTGACTTTACCGAAAGAGCTAAGGATATGTACATTGCTTATTAGTGTTGATCATTTTTGATATGCTGCGTATGCTTTGTGTGTTATCAGACCAAGGATGCCTTAATGGTATATATTGTTTCACATTGTGTCAACAAACTCTGCAATGGTTACATTTAACCAAAGATACCGAGACATCTTCTTTGGTTCTTTCGGTAAAGTCACCACGTAGAATGAGAATAAAATAATAAATTGATAAAATAAAATAACACAATAATATTCTCACGACGTTTCGGCCACAACACAAGCGGCCTTCATCAAGTGAAGGGACGAGACTGTCTGGAGGACAGCGCTGGACAGTCTCGTCCCTTCACCTGATGAAGGCCGCTTGTGTTGTGGCCGAAACGTCGTGAGAATATTATTGTGTTATTTTATTTTATCAATTTATTATTTTATTCTCATTCTACGTGACTTTACCGAAAGAACCAAAGAAGATGAATCCTTGCAGTCACAAAAGCTTTAAATCGAAAAATACAGAGACCTGTTCGTTGTGTCAAAACCGTGTAATTTGAATGCCCTGCAGTGGCGATATCTTAAGATAAATAATGGTAAAACATTTTATTGGCATGCCTCACATTTTCATCTTCACCATATTTAATCAAACTATATTTGCTGTTTCAATTTAGTAAATGCCATGGACATACTCTTCTCATACCATTGAATAATACTCGATTTCTACATTTCTATGTGAATTTCGCAGCCACTCATAAACACAATCGCAAATACACATGGAAATACCTACTTAGAGTATTTGGGTCGCATTATTCATGCTGCTGCTGCTGCACATTATAGGTCCCTCTTCAGCAATTCGTTCCAAACTCTACGTTTCAAGTTTCATTTATTAGGTATAGCCCTGTGAGCCATGCGGCTCTTGAGTCTGGTGCAACCGCAACATACAAAATATGAACAGTGAAGCATCTTAAAGCGACGATGCGCAACAGAAACATCCTGGGATAAACCGGCAAAACTACAAATCTCAAAAACTCCATTGAATTGTTGGACAGGCAAGGATAGATCATGACATTCGTATATTACTGTGAATGATTCAATGTTGATCATGGGTCAAGTTAAATTACTTAACGTGAAAACTGATTATGATCATTTGACCCTCAAGCCTATGCTGCCACTTGCCTCTCTACGTAGCTTACATAACCGCACTTTGTTGTGTATTTCAGCGTTTTACATTTATACATTGCTAGCGTGCAACCTCCTGGCTCGATATCGAGACGACACAGCTGAACAAAATGGCAACAACGTTTATGAGAGCACGAAAAATTGCGTGCCTGTTGAGACAAAATGCCGAATGGTGCACACTGAAATAAGAACTCGTAAAACCTTGCTTTCCTGCACGTAGTGTGTTAACACGGCTCACTCCAGACATCCCCTGTTGAGATGAAGGTGTGGATGAGCCTCCTGAAGGAGGGACTCTAATTTGTCTAAAATAAAATATACAATTTTCTGGATATATAATTATGTTTTTCATATTCTCTAAATGGTGGCATTGGAAGGTCATTTTAAGTGCTAAATAAAATGCAATGTACAAGATACATCTCTGCACACGTAAACATTGTCCTCTTGTTATTTTTGTGTTATTATGTTTTAAAACACTGCCCAGATAACTGTCCTGAATTTAAAGCAGCTGTTACATGAGGTCAACAACTCACTAACCACTGCAAGATCTCAAAATGAATCAACGCTTCTCTATTCGATGTCAAACTTGTACATTAAATTATTTAAATATGGAAGTTATTCGTAGTGTACTGAAAACGTGTTTATATGGGGCATTGCACGCAGTTAAGGAGTATTGAATAGGGCATGCGGGAACTACGTGTGCACCTGCTTCTTATTTTATAGGAATTGGTATTTCAAATGTTGTTTTGTAGAACAGGAGTTTAATTGACCGCTCACCGCTCTTGTAAGCCGTGACGCAATGCCAGCATGAGCATTGGACAACATCATAGCCCCATCTGCTGGGCCCAAACCGCCGCTTTTGCTGCTGCTGTTGCTGCATGAGTTTGGCTGGGCAGTGTTACAACCCCGTTCCTGAGACGCTTCCCGCAGATCTCTCCAGGAAAAGGGAATTATCACAGCAGCAGCCATGATCTCTCCACTGCTGGACAAAGGTCTTCGGAAGTCATCGCTGTCCACAACGACATCGTGATACGATAAGCCATCTAGCTCCTGCTGTTCAATGCTCCATCTCTACAGTGCTACATCTCTACAGTGTGCCTTCTCGGCCGTGTGTTCACGTCTGCTACTTTATCGTCGACCATGACCATTGGGCCATCAACACTTCTTGCGACGTGTCCTGCCAAAACCCACTTAATTTTATTTCCATGTCAACATGGTCAATATGATGATACGTCGAATCGGTGTTAATTATCTCACCCATTTGTTCCTTTCACGGTCTCTCAATGCAGTTTCGAGCATGCACGTTCTTTTGCACACTTTTCAGCCGCCTTTATTTTAATTTCATTGCCAATGTCCAAAGTTATTATGGTCCCTGTGTCATCGCAGGTCCATGTGCAATGACTGAAAACGTCCGTAGGCACATTGGTATGATGCTTTCCATTGATCAAGTTCAGTTTTAAACCAGCACGCCAATTTCATCAGAATGAGAATATTTATACTTGATGAATCCGTTAAGCTATAAAGCTCCTTTTCACAGATGTCCAGTAGGGGCAGGTCAGAACTGTACAACAAACAATACAAAAACACGATAAGAGTGCAAAGTCGAGGAAAGGTAAACTAATCACTTAAAAAAATACAAATGAAACTAAACTATGTTTTATCTTACCAGGTAAAGCCCACTGGGGTATAAACGCCCCCACATATGTTGATTGACTACGCTTTACTCAAACTTACAACACCACCACTAGCTGATGTGCCAATCATTTTACTTTCATTAATTGTGATTGTTGATTACCCGAAATGAAAAAAAAACACCTTAAAACTTTACTCAACAAAATCATGAGTGTCCTCGTGGACAGTGTGCACTGTGTTGAACTTATTTTGCACCGTACGTAGCCAACCGTGCTAATCGGGGGTGCGATTCATGAATAATAATCATCAGGCAATGCCCCCTTCACATATACGTCCTTGCCTGTAAGATCGGCAGGTCACCAGCATTGCTTCATGCAATGATGAGAACGCTGAACGTCAAAACTGATCCAGAGTTTTCTTGTCCTAAAACAACGCTCCTGAAATGTTGCAGTCCCCAAAAGACCGTGGGCGGCTCATGGTTTGCGTAACTCACGCAGCCAGCTATGGCTCTACGATTTGGTGTTACATGTTATTTATGTAGTTTATTGTAAAAAAATCGGTCACAGTCCCTGTGATCACTGTTACGTTGCAATTATGGCTTTATTTTTTGGTGATTTCGAAAACGTTTTTTTTGTTTGTACATGTTTGTTTTGTTGTAGTACGGAGTTAGACTGATGGCCTTAATCTAAGTTTTCTTGTGGTTGTTGTTGTTTTTGACTTGCATCCCACTAGGATTTTTTGCACACAGCGTTGGTGTACGGTGCTTTTTTTCAGGAATATTTTGCTGTTTTTTCATGGGTTTTCTGTTTGCACAGTCACATAGTCACTTTAAGATGTTTTTCTTGTTAGTGTTTTTTTGTTTGTTGTGGTTTCACCCGATTCAAAAGCTGAATGGCTCACAGGGCTATACCAAAATAACTAAAACTGAAACTAAACTGAAATACCCTCGCTCGTTTACAGGTCTACACGGCCAGCAGGTGGCAACAGCAGAACTGTTTTTTCAGCCTCGTGATGCTCCTACGTGTTTGGCAATGAGTGAGTTAGGCAGACAAACAGCGCATGGATGTAGCAGTTTTTGGTTGGGTGTAAAGTGGAAATACTGCATTGGTGTCTCATTAACTTTCCTGTGCCTACATGAACAAATCACGCGGAATTCACCTGACACACCCCCCCCTGCCCTCCAGACCTCGGAAGCTAATCAGGTTTGAGCCTGGACAATGCTTAGATGGATGACCACCAAGCATAAACACACATGTCGTAGACATTGTGGGAGAGCAGAGTGCAGTAGGAGCCATTTGTTGTTCTGTTTAATCACCCCCCCCCCCCCCACTTTTATCAGCGAGCATTGTGAAATATGGTACAACAATCATTCTCACTGCCCAGACTGCGTCGGGACGAGGCTCTCATTCGGCAGCGGATTGACAAAAAGGGCCTTGACGCTCGCCTCCCCGCACCGACTTGTGCACGAATGGTCAGCAGTGCAGCAGACGCATACGCAAGTAGGTAGGTAGGTTCCTTTGCAAAAAGAGCCGGGAATATTTTGGAAAACGATTTCCATGGTGCCCCCGTACACACCGAAGGTTTACATATGTAATTAGGACTTTGACATGTTAAATGTCCACAAACGAGTGGACTGGACTGCCATGTTTATATTGAATTTGTTCGCGGTCTCGAGTGGGATTTGATGAGGTGCTGTCATGGAATGCAGAAGAAAATGCGTGAAGCCTCTAGGCTGGTGAGAGATGTTTCTATAGCGCTCTGCTCTCAGATGAGTCTTCGGATTGTACCGCGTGTTGTCCGGAATTATGTCCGACGCTTCGCTCGACACGACGGAAGCTTCTTCAGGAACTAAATGGAGC